CTGGTGGCCCGGTGCCTGCTGCTCCGCCTGGTGGCCCGGTGCCTGCTGCTCCGCCTGGTGGCCCGGTGCCCGCTGCTCCGCCTGGTGATCCGGTGTCCAGCCCGATGTGCCTCTGTCCGGTGTCCAGCCCGATGTGCCTATGTCCGGCGTCCAGCCCGATGTGCCTCTGTCCGGCGTCCAGCCCGATGTGCCTCTGTCCGGCGACCAGCCCGATGTGCCTCTGTCCGGCGAGCAGCCCGATGTGCCTCTGTCTGGCGACCAGCCCGATGTGCCTCTGCCCGGCGTCCAGCCCGATGTGCCTCTGCCCGGCGCCCAGCCCGATGTGCCTCTGTCCGGCGCCCAGCCCGATGGGCCTCTGTCCGGCGCCCAACCCGATGTGCCTCTGTCCGGCGCCCAGCCCGATGTGCCTCTGTCCAGCGCCCAGCCCGATGTGCCAGTCCTTGATATCCCGCCAGTTACTGGACCCGGGCGGTGGAACATTTTGCCCAGCTAGGACTGTTTGGAGCGTCCTGAGGCCACTCCTTGAGGGGGGGTACTGTCAGGAATGGACTTGCCAATAATGGTGGGACTCATCTGCCTTGTGAGCTGCAGTACCAGGGCTGGCCAGCGGGTGCTCTCAACAATCAGAGACTCACCCCTGCAGTCAGCCAAACACCTGAAGCTGATTGCAGGGGTTGTATTTAAGGAATGGCCAGACTCACAGTCAGGGCCTTGGTGTGTGTTTTTTTCCATGGGCCCCTGTATCTTGTATCCTGTGTTCCTGTTCCTGTTTCTGCCTGACTTGTTGCCGACCCTGCCTGATCCTGACCTCTGCTGACTTCTCCTGTTTGATCCCTGGCTTGTGACCCTGACCATTCTCTGCCTGACCCTCTGCACCGCGCTGCCCATGAGTTACTGAACCCAGCTTGTGACCCCGACCACTCTCCCGCCTGTTCCTGGTACTCCGTTTACCCATTTGCTACTGACCCGCCTGCCTGACGACTCTTGCATTGTATGTATTGTTATCTGTAGGTGGTTTGGTTTGTTTGCACTGTGTTTATGTTTAGTTTTGCACTGCGTTTTGTATTGTTAGTCTTAAATCATATTGTTTATACCATATCTGAAGCCTGCGTTTCCCTGTGTCAGTCCACTCACCTCTGGTCATACCCGGAGCCCTGACACATACAGTTTTGAAGCCATCAGTTCCAAAAACATTTATCTTGGTCTCATAACTCCAGAGTAGAGTCCCAGTAGTCTCTTTTTCACCATGGACCCTGGTAAATTCTAGGCGGTCTTTCTTGTGCATGGGCTTTAGGAGAGGCTTCCTTTGTGGATGACACCCATGCATGCCATTCCTTTGCAGTGTATGCTGTATTGTGTCACGGGAAACAATCATCCCAGTTTGGCTTTCTACTACATTAGCTAACTGCAGTGAACTTGCATGTGGATTTTCTTAAACCCTTCTCATCAGAAGATGCTCCTGTCAGGGTGTTAATTTCCATAGATGGCCTGGACGTCTGTGAGATGGTTGCAGTTCCATCTTTATTAAATTTTTGTATCACTTTTGCTACAGTATTCTGACTGATAAGTAAAGCTTTGCTGATCTTATTGTAGCTTTCACCTTTCTTGTGTAAAGAATTTATTTTCTTTCTCTGGCCTTGTGACATTGCTCTTCCATGTGGTGCCATTGCTGACAGCATGAGATGAGAAGGGGATTTCTTTGTTAAGTAATGCCCTTTTATAATCAATTGTCTGCTGGACACCTGTTTAACCACCTCCCCTCCAGAGGATTTACCCCCTTCCTGACCAGGCTATTTTTTGCAGTATGGCGCTGCATTACTTTAACTAACAATTGCACGGTCATGCAATGCTACATCCAAATGAAATTTACGTCCTTTTTTTCCTCACAAATAGAGCTTTCCTTCGGTGGTATTTGATCGCCTGTGCAGTTTTTATTTTTTGCACTATAAACAAAAAAGACTGACAACTTTGAGAAAAAAAAACTAAATTTTTGCCTTTTTGCTATTAAACACTTGCCTATTGGGCACTTTTTACCCCCTTACTGCCCAGGCCAATTTTCACACTTTGAATTACACTGTAGCCATATGAAATTTTTATAATTTTTTTCACACAAATACAGCTTTCTTTTTGTGGTATTTAATTGCCGCTGGGTGTTTTATTTTTTGTGCTATAAACAGTTTTTCTTTGTTTCTAGTATACGATTTTGCAAACAAGTAATTTTTCTCCTTCACTGATGTGCGTTGATGAGGCTGCACTGATAGGCATCACTGATGGGACTGATAGGCAGCACTGATGAGGTGGCACAGATAGGCAGCACTGATATGTAACAACGATGGGCATTGATGGGTGGCACTGACTGCTGGGCACTGACTGCCGGAACTGATGGGTGACACTAATGGGGGGCACTACTAGGCACTGATGGGCACAGATCACCACTGGTGGGTGTTTCTGCTGGGCACTGATCACCAGTGCCCTGATGATCGGTGCTGATCCATCTTCTGACAATTGCCGGTTATATCGACAGCGTGAGGAAAGTGCAGCCGATAACTGGCAACTGCATTTCCCGGTAATCTGCTGTATCATTGGACACAGCTGGGGAAAATGTCACCAGCACATTGAGGATCACCAATATAGGTCCAAAAATTTTAATGAACGATCACATAGTTACAGCAAGGCAATGTTTCGGAGTCTCGCAGGACCTATGCCTGATGAAGACTCTGAAACGTTGCCTTGCTGTAACTATGTGATCGTTCATTAAAACTTTTAGACCCATATTGGTGATCCTCGGTGTGCTGGTGACATTTTCCCTTGCTGATTCTGTTCGGTTCCAGCCGATGGTTGCTGCAGCACCCACTTATACACACAGCCAATTTTAACGCAGGAAAATGTGCGTTTGGATTGTACACTTGCATATTGGACACAGCTGATTGGCCTTTTACCACATAACGTGATCAGCTGTGTCCGTAGGACACAGTGATCACGTTGATCGCTGGCTGCACACCCCCAGGGGTGCATGGGAGGGCGCGTTCTGGGAGAACGTCATATGAAGCCCTCCCAGGACTGGACAACTGTTCTGTAGCCATCAATCGGCTATAGCGCGGTTGGCAAGTGGTTAAACATGTCCAGTAAAAAACATTTAAAAATCACATTTCCTCCTAAATTTAGGCCAAAATGTATTCTGCTAAAAAAAATCCCAACAAATGTAAATTAATTGGTTTTTCATGAAAGTTATAGCGTTTACAAATGGCGGTATATATACTGGAATTTTTTTTTTTCTTACTAGTAATGGTGGTGTTGAGCAACTTATAGCGGGACTGCAGTGGGAATTCCGACACTGGGGGGGGACTGATTCGGTGTCACCGACATCCCCAGTGACACCAATACAGTGATCAGTGTTAATAAAAAGCACTACATACTGCTATGCAGAGCCACACAAAGCAGTGTGCAGGAGCTGACAGAGGAGAGATCTGTGTTGTTTATACACAGTGATATGAAATGAAATGTGTTAGTGCAAACCATGTGACATAGTGCTATAATGCACCTCCCTCTTTAGGGGAGCTTGAACAAACCTTTGTGATAAAAAAAATAAAATAAATAAATACCTACATATTTGTGTTATGGTGCATGCATAAACTCCTAAATTCCATTCAGAAAATGTGATGGGGACTACAGTACACCTCTCCCTATGATGACACACTGTGTAAATGATACTAGAACCACATAAAAACACACTTAGAACAAAATATATACTGATATGTCATGAACCAGAGGTAAAATCATCACTGTGCCGAACTGCAAAAATGCAAAAATTGCGAATCACCTTGCCCCAGGAGCACTGAGCAAGTGATCCTTGTAAAAAAGTGTCCTTAAAAAAACAAATCAGTACATAATCAAATTGACGTTTCAGTTCATATTAGAAAGTCACGGTGCTACAAAACACCTTTCACATCTAAGCTATCAACGTGACTTAGTGATATGATGGTGGTCTCGACAACAGAAATTTGTGATGAGTGCTTCACTCGTGCTCCCCCTCCAGAGCCTCATTCACAGCAGGGTATTGACCACCTATGCTAAGGTAGGTCAAAAAGTGCTTTTGGGTGCTTTAACAAGCCCCTGGAATGGATCAGCCTCCTGTGCACTTCTGAGACTGCTGACCACTGAACCTGGAGTCCTCTCGTTAGGAAGAAAACACTCCAAAGGACTACAATTCTCCTCCACCGCAATGAAAGCCATCAAAGGGAGATTTCCATAGCGTTATACTGTATTTATTTGGATAAAAACACTTAAAAATGCAGTTACATAATATCTATGTGTATGACACTTTAACACCAATATGTCCTAGGATGCTGTACTCTCTGTAAGCACCCTCGTGTGGACTGGAAGTGACTCTATTAGCCCCGCCCAACACGTTTCATCATATGACATCATCAGGAGCGAACAGCGGTGCGCGGGTAGGGCATGCACATATCCCCTACTACAAACTACAAAATCTCACACACACAAATGTATTTCTGCTATAGGGCTGCGTACAAGTGGTTAATGAATATTTAGACTCACCTGTAGTTGAATTCTTCTTAATTAGGATTTTGTTGTCTAAAATTTAGCTTTGCTCCTAATGTAGGCCATAGATGGGGAGAAAAAACGGCAGATTTTTCTTTTAAAAAATGAAAATTCGGTCGTTCAAGCGGCCGACGTTACCATCAATGGTAAAAAAAAATCGGCCGATTTTCATCCCTTCTACAGCCGGCAAAAAGTGTCCCTGCAGAGAGCTCCGCTATTTCTGACAGTTCTCTGACAGTTCCTTCACATTTACAGCGGTTGAAACATTGTATCTATTTGTTTCCATTTCGGATACAGATGTTTTTATTCGGAAACAAATAGATACATTGTTGCAACCGCTGTAAATGTCAAAGAACTGTCAGAGAACTGTCAGAAATAGCGGAGCTCTCTGCAGAGACACTTTTTGCTGGACTGGAATTCTTCTTATTTTCATCCTACTTCTTCTTCTTCTTCTTCTTCATCCTCATCCTCTTCTTCATCATCCTCATCCTCTTCTTCTTCATCATCTTCATCCTCATCCTCTTCTTCATCCTCATCCTTTTCTTCTTCATCCTCATCCTCTTCTTCGTCTTCATCCTCATCCTCTTCTTCTTCTTCGTCCTCATCCTCCTCTTCTTCTTCTTCTTCCTCATCCTCTTCTTCTTCCTCATCCTCATCCTCTTCTTCTTCATCCTCATCCTCTTCTTCTTCTACATCCTCATCCTCTTCTTCTTCTTCCTCATCCTCATCCTCTTCTTCTTCATCATCCTCATCCTCTTCTTCTTCTTCATCCTCTTCTTCTTCATTCTTATCCTCTTCTTCTTCCTCACCCTCATCCTCTTCTTCTTCTTCTTCATCCTCATCCTCTTCTTCATCCTCACCCTCTTCTTCTTCATCCTCATCCTCTTCTTCTTCTTCTTCATCCTCATCCTCTTCTTCTTCATCCGCATCCTCTTCTTCATCCTCTTCTTCTTCTTCTTCATCCTCATCCTCTTCTTCTTCATCCTCATCCTCTTCTTCATCCTCTTCTTCTTCTTCTTCATCCTCTTCTTCTTCTTCATCATCATCATCTTCATCCTCATCCTCTTCTTCTTCTTCCTCATCCTCTTCTTCTTTTTCTTCCTCATCCTCATCCTCTTCTTCTTCTTCCTCTTCCTCATCCTCTTCTTCTTCTTCATCCTCTTCTTCTTCTTCTTCATCCTCTTCTTCATCCTCTTCCTCTTCTTCTTTTTCTTCTTTTTGTCTTCCTCTTGCAGGTCACTGCTCATGCGCAGATTTTTTATCGGCAAAAAATCGGCGGATTTGCCCACTATTGCCGCGAAAATCGGCCGATCGGCAAAATCGGCCGATTTTTTTCCCAACTTTACAGAAAAAAAACCCGGCCAAAATACCGAAAAACGGCCGACCAAATAGCCCACTAACGATCCGAAAATCGTCCGATTTTGTTTTCGGCCGAAAAATCGGCCGATTTTCGACCCATCTATGGCCTGCATAAAACTTTCATTGGGGTATATTCATCACTGCAACATAATCCTGAATGAATTTGCTAGGAAAAATACTTTTTTCTGTGTGCAAATTAACAAATCTTGTTTGCAATCAATGGCCTGCATTTGTGGTAGTATTTAGTAGTATAGTGTCCCATAGAAAATGTTGATTTTGAAAGGAAACTAAAGGTTTTCTGACAAATCTGTTGGGGATGTACTTATTTATGCTGTATATATTTTTTGCACTTATTAACATTCATGCTTCTTGCATACTGGGGTGAATGTCTATTTGATTTTTATTGACTAATATATTAACCACTAGGGGACTGCCCACAGTACAATACTGCGGCAAAGCCGCATTTATATATAAACGTGATCCTTGTTTACATGCTAGGGGGCACACGACTGCCCTGTCCGCGGCACCAATCGCGGCCGCAGGTGTCAATCACTGGGTTCCGACAGGTGTCCCGGCGATTGCCAGCAAACACTGACACAGAGCACAGCTGTATTGTTTTCAATGCAGTTCTTCTCCCTGTCAGTTCCCAGCTCACTGTTCCAGCAGAGCTTAACTATCTGGGACAGCTTGCAACAGTGAAGTACACACCCCCGCCCACTAGTAAAACACTCCCCTCACACAGTTAACCCTTTGATTGCCTAAAAATGTTAACCCCTTCCTCCCCAGTGCCATTAGTACAGTGTCAGTGTTTTTTTTTTTTTTGCACTGATCACTGTATTGGTGTCACTGGGGATGTCAGTGACCCCAAGTCAGTTCCCCCCCAGTGTCAGAATGTCCACCGCAGTCGCTGATCACCGCCATAAGTCACTGATCACTGTTATTATTAGTATAAAAAAAAATCCAGTATCTATACTGCCATTTGAAAATGCTATAACTTTCACGTAAACCAATTAATTTACACGTATTGGGATTTTTTTTTAGCAAAGACATGTCACACAATACCTTTTGGCTGAAATTTATGACAAAATGTGATTTTTAAATTTTTTTACTGGACATGTTTTATAGCAAAAAGTCCAAAATATTGATTTTTTTCTCAAATTTGTTGTTTTTTTTATGTCACAAAAAATAAAAAATGCACAGGCGATCAAATACCACTGAAAGAAAGCCCAATTCATAGGGAAAAAACTATGTCAATTTCATGTTTGTGTAGCATTGCATGACTGCGCAATTGGCAGTTAAAATTATGCATATATATATATATATATATATATATATATGTGACTTGCGCTCCCGTGGTTTTCACGCCCCTCCCAGATAGCATCAGATTGCCCGTCAGTACACCAGTCATCACATGTAACCCCCTCGATTTCCAGGAAGACGCTCATACACAATAAACCTCCATTGCTAGTATAGTGTCAGAACGGATCAATATCTTTGATCAGATCAGCACTATACCAGCGTTCACATTAGTATAGCATCCCCCAAAATGCAGCGTTAGCGGGATCAGCCCCAGAACCTGCCAGCACCTGCGTTTAGCCCCTACACTTACTCCCCCTTCTCCCCCAGCAAGTGCAGTGTCAGTAGGTCACTGTCACTTTTACATTGTACCCAAAACCGCAGTGTTCGCAGAATCAGGCCTGATTTCTGTTAGCACTTGCCGGCAAATTTTGATGACTCTCATATGCAGCAGAGTTCCAGTACTAGTGCCGCGCTACCTTTTGGTGAACTGTCGAGTACTAGTGGCCTAGTACTTCCTGGTCTTCACATACCTCTTAGATTGTAAGCTCCAAGTGGCAAGGCCCTCCTAACCCTCTTGTATTGAACTGCATTGTTGCTGTATTGTCTCCCGTTATATTGTACAGCGCTGAGCAAATTGTTAACGCTATATAAATCCTGTATAACAATAATAATAATAATACCAGCACTGCATTATGACTTGGTGACGTGGCGAGTCCCATAAGTACAGTACAAGCTGGTGCGGTGGCAAGCACAAATATTGCCCTGCAACCACCAAGAATTCTCACACAGGCCCATAGAGCCCCTAGTATCCTTCCGGATGTGCTTGCAAATCCCTATTGGCAGCCCGCAAATTCTGCAGCACTCGTACTTCCCCCATTCACTGCCCAACCCGGAATTCAGGTAGAAATAGCAAAAATTTAACTACTCCCTTTGATTTTTTGGAGCTGTTTTTCACGCAAGATCTGTATGCATTGATTATGGATCAAAGCAATTTATATGCACAACAGTTTATCGGAGCCAACTCAGATTCAAACCTTGCCAGACCATTCGCATGGAAACCCATTACGGTTTCCGAATTAAAATTTTTTTTGCACCTAACCCTCAACATGGGCATTACTAAAAAAAATTAATTGCGGTTGTATTGGTCCACAGACCCGATTCATCATATGCCCGTGTTCTCTGCTGCCATGGCCAGGCATACATATTAGAGTATAATGTGTTTTATGCATTTCAACGACAATACACTCTGTCGTCCTCGGGGAGCCCTGAATTTGACCGGCTACACAAAATTCAGCCCCTCACAAATCACTTTAACCAAAAATTTGCAGATGTCTATACTCCCCAGCAAAACATGTGCGTTGATGAGTCCCTCATTAATATTTCTGGCCACCTTGCATTCAAACAATTTCTCCCCAGCAAGCGTGCCAGATATGGGGTCAAGATGTAGAAGATCTGTAAGAGGGCAACAGGCTACACTTATAAGTTTTTGATTTACAAGGGAAAAGATAGTCAAATGGAGACACCTAGATGCCCAGACTACATGGGGAGTAGTGCCAAGATAGTTTGGGACTTGGTGTCATCCTTTTTCCATATGGGGTACCACTTACACATGGACATTTGTACAATCTTGGAACTGGCGCACGTGGCACCGTGTGCCCACCATTAGCAGTGGGTAGATGCAGGGCGGTATATTCTAATGGTGGGCATACCACACACTTTTTCTGGCAGAGATTTCTTTTCTTTTTTTTCAGTCCACAGGCTGCATACAAAAAAAAAGAAAATAGCATATACAGTAATACCTCGGTTTACGAATGCATCTGTTAATGTAATTTTTGGTTTATGAATGAAAATCCATTGAAAATAATGCCTCGGCTTATGATTTGTTTACAAATTTTTTTCACAATATGAAGTGTATGTCAGTGCTGATTTTTAAATGCAATTGCCTTTTTTTTTTTCCTTCACTATAGCTCACAACATTAGCTGTCAGTTTCCCCGAAGCTAACGGATACTTTGTATCTTTTAAGAAACTGAAAGGAAACATTGTTTCTTTTGAGGAAATAAACTAAATGAAACTTTCTCTCTTTTAGCTGGAGGGGGAGAGTGACAGATTAATTTCTGAACTACTGTATAGTGAAGAAAAAAAAAAAAAACGGTAATTACATTTAAAAACTGGCACCTGACAGCTTAGTGTAAAATAATTTGCCAGCAATTCTTTTACATTCAGCTGTCAGTGGGAACCCCACTGACAGCTTAAACATTAACCCATGGTTGTCACTACTAAAATACTGCATGAGTTATTTTATTATTTTAGGTTTACTGTCTTTCTGACCTTCGGAACGGATTAATTGGTTTTCAATGCATTCCTATGGAAACAGTGTTTCGGTTTGCGAATTCTTCGCTATACGAAATGTCCTGCAGAACGAATTAAATTCGTAATCTGAGGTATTACTGTATACCCAACAAGGACCAGCGACATACTAGTACATCACTGGACTTTGAATGGTTATACCAGGATGATGCCTACAGCTGCTATATTTTTTTTTAGCCGATGATCGGTTTTCATGTAAAAGCAATCCTAGTGGCTAATTAGCTGCAGGATTGCTTTTACAAGTAGCGGGAGATGATGCCCCCCTCCCCCACTGCCTTCCACGGTCTTCTCGGGCGGTCCCATGCCATCAGGGGCAACCTGAAATGCAGCCAGTGTTTCTGCCAGCTGTCCATAGAGCTGATTGGAGACCAGAATGGTGCCAATCATCTCTATAGTCTAAGAAATTGGAGGCTACGAGCATTTCATCACTTCAGTTTCATAGGGTATAAACAGCACCATTTGTAAATTGGGAAGCATCTGATTACACCGATCTTGGTTTGATTAGATAATGTAAGGGCAAAGGAGATATATAGAGTCTGATAGAACCCAGTTTTCTCAAAAAAGAATATATGACAATGCCTATTGAAGTTATAGGGGTTATTTGCATTCCCTGTGATAGCATTAAAAGTGATAAAAAAAAAAAATGAAGGGGACAGTGTTAAAATAATTGAAAAAATCTAAATAACTCAAGAAAAAAAAAGTACCCTCGCCCCCCCGCGCATCTGCGTTTGTGAGCATTGACCCTGTGCCAGTATGGAAACAGCGGTTGCACCATGCATGTGAGGTATCGCCACGAATGTCAGATCAAGGACAGTAATTCTAACACTAGACCTCCTCTGTAAATCTAAAATGGTAGCTTGTAAAGGCTTTTAAAATGTTGCCTATGGATATTAAAAACGTATGTAGTTTGTTGCCATTGCACAGGGCATGCGCAGTTTAAAGCATGGCATGTTTCGTATCTATTTACTCGGCATACCATCATCTTTTTTTATATTTTACAAAATAATTGGCAAATATTTTGTGTTTTTTGTGTATTAAAAGTAAA